TTTGTTTCCCCTTGGCAAAGGATTACGGCACGTAGAACAAAGGAGGGAGGAGTAAAGATAATAATGGAAAGTTAAAAAGTAAAAGGACCGAAGGAAAGAATGAAAACGCTTATTAAATAATGTTCCTTTATCTTAAACGCAGCTCTCCTCCAAAAGTGCTGCATTTACACAACTTTGCTTACTAAAAAAAAATTATGATTGTCCTGACAGATGATAAGGTTTTATTTTAGAACAGTTATGTCAGAACCTTCGGCCATGAGTTAAATACTTTAAGATGGTGTTCACTACCCACTCGATATGTGTGCATTACCTGTTTAATTTTCGTTTTTTCTCTGCTTTTTTTCTTAGCTGTTATGCCACATCTACCGTTTGCTAACACGGTGGGCAACACCGAACTTTAATTGCAGACGTAGTCTTAATGCATCCTGTAAACTATACATCTGACTATTCAAGGGTTTGCTTGTTTATGTGGTCATAGAGAAACGCCAAGCTCCCTTTGCTCCATCATTCTCCTCTTACAGCAAGGTCTTGCTCTTCCGTCCGTTACTAAGTTTCGCAGGCAACAACTAAACCTTGGCTGGGCTTGGCTAGTGATGGTAGAGAGGCAAGTGAGAGGAAGGGGGTGAGGATTGGAAGGAAGGGGTCTCGGAAATCGTAACGAGAGGGAGGGCGGGGGGAGGGGGGAGGGAAAGGGCCGGGATTACTGACTGGAAAAACCTTGGCTCTTGTTAGGCCTTGGTTGCTGTTAGGAATTGGAAATAGGCGGGTGGTGCGGGAGGGGAGACGAGGGGCAGGAACAGGAAGGGCGCCCCTATGAGTTTTATCATGCTCGACCCATTATGCACTCACTTTTAAATCTGGGTTCGAGAAGCGAAAATCGTAGTGTTGTATTTTTTGTCTAGGTGAGGTTCTAGGCTTCGCGTTCAAGACTTATAATTTATCCTCAGCAATAAGTTCCATGCTGAGGATAAACCTAGTAGAAAGCGTACCGGCTGCCGGTACGAGGATGCGTTTTTTGCGCAATTCCCCCCGGCA